ATATTATTTTTACTTTTAATCTAATTTATGAATTTATTTGGATATATCGGTATTACTGTCGTCTGTCTCCTCTCTTTTTTTCCTTTTCTTTTCTCCCCTCCCATTCCTACATATCATTTCCATTAAGTTAACCATCTAAATAGTTCAAGGTTCGGTCAGTCCTCCTACCCCAATATAAAGCATGCTTAAGAGAGATATGAAATTAACCTCTCCCTATACTCTACCTTGTCTCTTTACCTACCTCCCCGCCCCCTGTTAAATTACAAAAATTACACTACCCATCAATTTCTAATCCCATTTTTCCTTTCATTTCGTTGTTGGAATTGTTACCTGATGATCCGGAGTCCTTTAAAAAGGATTTTGGTGAAATAAATTATTGTAATGGTATCTTAAAGTGGTCTGTTTTTCATTAAATATTAGCTCTGTATTCACATTGAGCTCTCAGGATTCCATCCTCCTTGGAATTTCCCATTCGGTTTACCAAGCTCTTCATAACTTAATTATGCATATATATATATATATATATATATATATATATATATATATATATATAAAAGTGAACATAGAAGTCAACACTTAGAGGCGACAGTCTGTTTCATGCTATATGCAATCGTCAGGCCACGTGTGCTGTTATTTTTCTCGGCTATTTATATATATGCGGGTTAGTGGTGCATTGTGGGTATTCTATTATGGCGGTTATTTTTACCGGAAGTCGCTTTGTTCATTTATTTGGGTCAAGTTATATTGCTCGTTTTTATTTATTTTTTATTTTATTTTATTTTATTTTATTTTTGTTTCTTATTTTATTTATTTATTTATTAACGTAGTAAAAATTTGTTTATATCACGTATTTAACAGTTTTGTTTGGTTGTTGTAGTTCATTCTAACTATTATTTTTTTGGCGGGAACTTTTTTTTAATTTGGGATTGGTTTGCCTATTTATTTACTTGGATGAATTTAGGTCAATTTATTTTTATATTTTCTCTTTTTGGTTTTCGGTTGTTTATATTCACACGCTCTATCTCTGATATTGAGCACTTTATCCCATAAATATAGCACACCTTAAGACTATATTTCTTTTTATATATATATATATATATATATATATATATATATATATATATATATTCTTTCCCGAAGTTCACCCAAGACAATTGCATGGAGTTGTATTGGCGTCAGAAAGGTCAAGATAATAGGAAAGATAGACAGCCAATTCTGGACGTGAAAAGGTCAAGATTTAATTAGTAAATAAAATGTCAAAGTTCAGGCGGCGACGTTAGAAGTAATATATATATATATATATATATATATATATATATATATATATATGACCGCCATGAAATGACAAAATTTGTGTTTATTACCACTCGTGATAATAATTAAAAGGGAAAAGTAGCTAGCTCACCGATTTCGAACCTCGCTCAATAGATTTAAATGGAGGTTAATAAATATAGAATTATCAATAAACATAGATGCACAATACGTATGTGAAAAATACTTAGCCTATCTATCACTGATACGACCCAGCCAATAATGAGACTGAAGCGGACCATTTTCTCTTGTCCTTGAATAATATGCATCCAGCTCTAAAATTTACACAAGAAAAGGAAATTAATTCTTCCCTTCCCTTGATGCTTTGGTTAGCAGACCTTCGGGTTTTCTTACTTTTGTTTATCGAAAACCGACATTTACCGTTTTGTATACCAGTTGGAACTCTTTTTGTCCCGTACAACGTAAAATCAATTTGATTAAGATACTTACTCATAGGGCCTTAATGATCTACTCTAAAACCAAATTGGATGATGAACTCAAGTTTACAACCATTACCTGTAAAAATACATATCCGTTATGCATCGTTAAATCAGTAATTAAGAATAAAATTGCGGAATTCAATAAAGTTAAACCGGTTATAGTACAAAAATGTCTTTCTACCTGCGCCTTTCTTAGCTAGGTAGTATCAGTGATAGATAGACTAAGCGGGTTTCATTAGCAGTTCGACATTGTTTCTTTGCTGCTAACACTCGTGATTTCTGCCAAACCTGTCCTTCCATCTACGCGGAAAGACGTCCTTCCTTCTCATCATAATAGTTCTTTGATTTATTCATTTAAATGTAGTTGTGGCTCACACTACATAGGGAGAACGACTCAAAGATTGGATGTCAAAATAAAACATGTATCAACAAAAATCCGAAATATTAAGTATTCTCCGTCAGATATTCTGACCAACATATCCGGGTTTTCCATCGCAGAACACCTAATAAATAATCATAATTATGCCGCTAATTCCGGTGTGGACTCATCTACTAATCTTAGTAAGTTCCGCTCGAATTGCCACTTAAAAATGTTGGAGGCTATATATATTTTGTCTTCCATCGCAGAACACCTAATAAATAATCATAATTATGTCGCTAATTCCGGTGTGGACTCATCTACTATTCTTAGTAAGTCCTGCTCTCTTAAAAATGTTGGAGGCTATATATATTTTGTCTTCCATGCCACCTTAAATAATCAAATTATGCCGCTAATTCCGGTGTGGCTATTCTTATAATATTTTGCTATATATATTTTCTTCCATCGCAGAACACCTAATAAATAATCATAATTATGCCGCTAATTCCGGTGTGGACTCATCTACTATTCTTAGTAAGTCCTGCTCGAATTGCCACTTAAAAATGTTGGAGGCTATATATATTTTGTCTTCCATCACAGAACACCTAATAAATAATCATAATTATGCCGCTAATTCCGGTGTGGACTCATCTACTATTCTTAATAAGTCCCGCTCGAATTGCCACTTAAAAATGTTGGAGGCTATATATATTTTGTCTTCCATCGCAGAACACCTAATAAATAATCATAATTATGCCGCTAATTCCGGTGTGGACTCATCTACTATTCTTAGTAAGTCCTGCTCGAATTGCCACTTAAAAATGTTGGAGGCTATATATATTTTGTTTTCCATCGCAGAACACCTAATAAATAATCATAATTATGCCGCTAATTCCGGTGTGGACTCATCTACTATTCTTAGTAAGTCCTGCTCGAATTGCCTCTTAAAAATGTTGGAGGCTATATATATTTTGTCTTCCATCGCAGAACACCTAATAAATAATCATAATTATGCCGCTAATTCCGGTGTGGACTCATCTACTATTCTTAGTAAGTCCCGCTCGAATTGCCACTTAAAAATGTTGGAGGCTATATATATTTTGTCCTTGAGACCTTCGTTGTTCAAACAGAAGAATCTTGGATGAGGCCTCTAAGTAATTTCCATTTAGGTATAGTTCGAAACCGGTTAGCTAGCTAGTTTTTCAGTTTTACCTTTTAATTATTATCATGAGTGGTAATAAATACAAATTTTGTCTTTTCATGGTGGTCATTACATTTTGTACCACTAATAAAATCTTTATATATATATATATATATATATATACAGGGTGACAAATAAAAAACGGGAATTTTCGAAGTGCGTATTGCCAGACATGAGCAAGTGGCAACCCTGCGAGACAGTGACTTTGAGCAAGTAAACATTTCACCATTTAGAATTCAAGATAAAATTCACAGTATCCCAGCTTAGATGTTGCAGCAGTCAATGAGGAATCTCAACAGCAGATTTCAAGAATGCATTCGCACAGGAGGACGCCATCTACAGGACGTAATTTTTATAAAATGAAAATTCCATCATTGTTTCTTAAATGACATGTTTTAAGGTTTCAATTACTACGAATAAAATATTTTTCTTCCATCACCCTTGGTTTTATTGGATTGTTAAAAAGTTCCCGTTTTTGGGGGTCACCCTATATATCTATATATATTGATGCATGTTTCATTAAATAATATAGACAAGTTTTGTCTATTTTATGTAAATTCTTTTCATATCGTCTGATAAGCTTAATAACATTATCATTATAAGAAGAAAGAAAATTACAATATTGATACATATTTTTTAATCCTATCTAAGCTTTAGGCTTACATAAGCCATTATCAAAGATGACAATTACATTACAATATATTAACCAATACACGGACAAAACAATAGTCTGTTTATGTTTACATGGAAGATTTCCAAGCAACGATAAACTCGTGCATACAAGACGCTGGAAGCGAAAATCGCACCGCAGCTCATGACGTCATACATGACCACGCGAGAGTGAAAACGAAAAGTATTAAGTATGGGAAGCTGTTGGTATAAACCAATGGCATTTAAGAATATTTATAGAGAGTTCATAGTTTATTTTGTTCAGGTTAGGTTTCAACTGTTTTATGTATATAGCATCAAGAATTTTTAGTTTTTGTTTATTGTTTTCATGTTTAAGTATAGTTGTGTTTTCAACGAGGATTTTCCGGAATTTTGTATGCGGCCAGGCATGTTGTTTTTATATATATATATATATATATATATATATATATATATATATATATATATATATATATATACGTGTGTATTGAATACAAACACTGAATTGACCATGAATACATGTAGATAGGTATGAGAAAGATTTCGATAGACATGGATATTTTCACGAATATCATAACTTGTTGTGTAAACGTCGTTAAAACGACGCTTTTGAATTCTAGTTTTCTTATCAAACAGTACTTCCCTCTTTTTAATCTCACAGATGACTGATAGGATATTCAGCTTGATTATGTGTAAATACGCCAATCTTGTGATCTTTGGTTTGACGAAACTAAGATAAGTAAATCAACGCTTGATAATGTTTAACTAAAATTAAATAATCCATGCTGATATTTGTGCATTCTTTGTTTTATATAGAAAACCACCTGACGGATGAAGCTGGTAAAATTATTGCAGGCATTATTAAAGTAAGAACCATTCTTCTTGTTAACTCTTTGCAGACATTATCAAAATATGAATCATTCCTCCTGTTAAGTCTTTCTTTCTGATCCTCACATAAAATTCTTGTGACACTTGTTACAAATCATTTCCATTTCTTTTTAATTATCGATAAGTCTTTCTTTCTGATCCTCACTACCACAAAATGTCTGTCTGTCTGTCTGTCTCTCTCTCTCTCTTCCTCTTGTTCTCAATTCTACCACATTTAATCTCTATATTACAGAGCGGCTGGCATTTCTGTCTGTCTGTTTAATTATCGATATTACTCTTTCTCCCTCTGTCTGTCTCTCTCTCTCTCTTTCTCTCTCTCTCTCTCTCTCTTTCTCTCTCTCTCTCTCTTACTACCACATTGCTCATCTCTATATTACAACGCGCGGCTGGCAACTCTGTCTGTCTGTCTGTCTGTCTCTCTCTCTCTCTCTTACTACCACATTGCTCATCTCTATATTACAACGCTTTCTCTCTGTCTGTCTGTCTGTCTTCATCTATATTACAACGCGGCACAACAGCCTGTCTCTCTCTCTCTCTCTCTTACTACCACATTGCTCATCTCTATATTACAACGCGCGGCTGGCAACTCTGTCTGTCTCTCTCTCTCTTTCTCTCTCTGTCTGTCTACTCATTGCTCTCTCTACAACGCGCGGGCTGGCAACTCTGTCTGTCTGTCTGTCTTCTCTCTCTCTCTCTCTCTACCACATTGCTCATCTCTATATTACAACGCGCGGCTGGCAACTCTGTCTGTCTGTCTGTCTCTCTCTCTCTCTCTTCTCTCTCTCTCTCTCTCTCTCTCTCTTACTACCACATTGCTCATCTCTATATTACAACGCGCGGCTGGCTGTCTGTCTGTTCTCTCTTTCTCTTTTCTTTGCTCATCTCATTACTAATGTTTCTGTCTCTCTCTCCTAATTCTCTCACTCCCTCTTAACCCGTTGCGTGATACTGTTCTCTTGCTCTTTTCTTTCTCCTCATTACTAATGTTTCTGACCCTAATTCCTCCACGCCCTGTAACCCGTTGCGTGATAGTGGTTGTACTGCCTTGCTTGGGGTGATACCGATTAAAAACCAATGGGCTAAAAGAAGAAAGAAATTAAATTCCGTGCTCCTTAACCATACACCCATCATCCAAAAAGGGGACGGAGCCAAAATCAAATCAAACTAAACCCAATTCCCATTTATGGGATCGATATTGGAAGAAGAAGTTGATCAGCGTTTATTTCTTTCTTCCTTCTTTCCTTTCTTTTCTCTTTTCTTCTTCTAAAAATTTTAGAAATGAGACTTTATTATTATTATTATTATTATTATATTGAAATCGTCTGCAGATTATCTTGTCATAAATGTTCTTAAGATAAAATTATCTGTGTGGTTAAACATTTTTTAAATAAATTTACACATTTATTTACTTCATTTAATTTAATATTTATAGACAAAATTTTTATATACTAATTTTACTAAGAAAATGTATATGATTATCGAACTGGTTTGTATATTCTCTAGATTATATTGCGATAAATATTTGACAATATTTGCTGAGTTTTTGTTAATACGCGTTAAGTAATATTTACAATTTAATCTAAAAGTATGATTGATATTTGCTGAAAGCTATACAAAACATATAAAAATATGAAATGATTAAATAAAAATAAATTTAATTCATAATTAATTTAAAAAGTAACAAATAAATAATCGATAAGTTTGAATGTTATGAATTAAATGATATTTTGGAAATTTGCAATAATGACGAAATTATTTTTAAAATTCAGAAGACGAAAAAAATTCTCACAAAATATTATCGTAATAAGAATTCCGAGGAATAGAATATGAAATCTAAAAATAATTTAAATAGTTTTATCGAACATCTAACCCTGACGAGATTTTCGATGTCAAACACTTGAGCCGATCTATAAGTGACTTGAACTTTTCTTAATTGATTGAATTATTGTGAACATAGTGTAAGAATATTTAAATTTTTTACATTATTCGGACTGTTATCCTCATCTTCATTGGCATATTCTCAACGTTTCAGCCGTTGTACGCTCCGACCTTCTTCAGGTGATTGGAATTTCGGATCGAACTCTTTATTTCGTCCACCGTGGTAGATTGTTCTAGTTCCACGTACCATCACTCTTCCGGATGGAAGAGGCATGGCACGTGGAACTAGATCTAACCAACGTCTTTATCCACTAGGCCAAATGTCCCTGTGGAAAAAGACGCTGGTTAGATCCAGTGAAAATCCAAAAGTCCTAGTGGGAAAAGACGTTGGTTAGATCCAGTGACTAGACCCAAAGAGTTGTGAGTTCAATACCAGGCCTCAGCAGTGGTGAACCAAAACTTGGAGAATTGAGTTAAAGGGAAATAACTGAGACATCCGGAAGAGGCATGGCACGTGGAACTAGATTTCGAAATTCCAATCAGCCGAAGAAGTCCGGAACGTACAACGGCCGAAACGCTGTGAATATGGCAATAACAGTCATGAAGATAACAGTCCGAATAATGTAGATAATATAAATACTCATAATATCTCATTTCGGAGATATTGACAGATAGTGCAAGAAACTGGAATTACATGTTTTTTGGGGCTAACGGATTTTTTTATTAAATGTACAGAATAACGACTCAATCATTTGGTTGAATCTCAGTCATAATAAATTGGAAGAAACTGGATCGCAATATATTGGCAAGGTTCTTGGTGAGTATTTATTTCAGAAAATAGAAAGATTTGTGTTTCCATTTTTTTTCACGGCAGAAAAGATATATTTTCGTGATTATATATGCGCACTCATGAAACTAGGTATCGAGCTTTCTATTACTTTCATCTCTCTCTCATTCTCTTTCTCTCTGTATGTATAAACATAGACATATATATATATATATATATATATATATATATATATATATATATATATATATATGATAAAGTGGAAAAAGTTATTTTTTTTACGTTTTATCCTTTAGGACTTCATCAGACTATAACTGCGATACACAGCACAAACGAAAGATGCTCGGAATTTAAATTTTTTAAAATTAATTTTTATTTATTTATTTATTTATTTCCCACCATAACGAGACTGACCGCCATTTTAACATAAAAAATTCTACTCGAAGAAGAAAACTGTCTAGTGAGTGCCTTGATCGCAAGCACATCCACAATAAGTTTATGCCTTGGCTCTTACAACATTTCACAATGCCTGGCAGATCTTCTACTATCACAGTGTGGGATATTTACTAACCAAAGGGAAAGAAAAAGAAAATAATCTTAATGAAATCGACTAAATAATAAAAACTGAAATATTCCTAAAGAACGAAACGCGTCACAAGAAAACTTTTTTCACTTTTTTATACATTTTGCCCAATATTATTCTTGGTATATCAAATAAATATCGTTATCTCATATATATATATATATATATATATATATATATATATATATATATATATATATATATACAGTGCTGTTCGATAAAAGTGACTCACCTGATTTTTTTACGAAAAATATTTTTTGTCTATTGTTTTGGGGGTTAAAATAATTTTTTATCTTACTAATATAATGGCCCCTTCCCGACCACCTAGGAAAAAGTTTTGTTCGCCCAAAGGTATTCTATTTATAATTATAAATTTGGATATAAATGAAATTCAGGAAAAAACTCTGTGCAAAAACAGTGACTCAGATATCGCATTCTAATGATTAAACTGGTAAATTTAAAGAGCTTTTGACAAAATATTGAAAACTATTTTACAATACACTCAGAACAAAATTCTAGAGAATTCTAGAATAGCTTAAATTAAATCTAGACTGTTCCAGAATATTCCAGAAAGCCTCATACAGTATAAAAACAGCTTGAAATAGCCACTCAAGTCAGTAACTAGATGAAAGGGTACAAACACGCACCAGGACGACTTAAGGCATCTATTATTGCCCTCTCAAAAACAAGCAAATCTACGAGAGAAATTGCAGAAATTGCTATAACCTCGCAATCAACTGTCTCTCGAGTGCTTAGGGCACATAATGACGTCACTCCTTCTCCAAGGAAGGAAACAAGGGGACGAAAGAAAAAGATTGATGATAGAACTGGCAGGGTAATCAAGAAAGAAGTTGCGAAGAATAGGACTATAACTAGCCAAGAAAATGCAGCCAGTCTAAGCGAAGAGCAAGATGTTAGTCTTGCCTCTTCACCATTCCGTCAGTGGCTGTTAGAACAAGGCTACAAATCTTGTACACGTAGATTTAAGCAGCCAATAAGCAAAGCCAACACAGCCAAGAGACTTGAATGGGCTCACTATTACAAAAATTTCACCGTAAAAGACTGGAAGAATGTTCTCTTCTCCGATGAAACGAAAGTTGAGCTAAATTCAAAGGATAAGGTCAGTCACTTTTATCGAACAGCTATACTATATATATATATATATATATATATATATATATATATATATATATATATATATGCTACAATTCTTCATTTATGAACTTTATTAAAATGAATGGCAAAATACAGTATACATTTGTTAAGTATTTTTGTTGTTTTCTTTAATGCGAACAACGGATATTTTTATATTTGTTTTTATATTTGCAACTGACACAAGTGAGCTCATTAAAAGATTACACTCCACTAAGAAGCGACCATATTTTGTACACTCATAATTTTATATTTGCACACGGGCTAAAATTTGATCTTGACTTTTCTTCTGACCTCGTAGTCATGAGAGGTAACTTCACCTCCGTGCAAATAGGTAAAATTTATTTGCTATTTGAGTGTTACTGACAAACATTCCAATTCAAAGATCCCAGCAATTCCCTAAAAACGAAATAAAAATCATGAGCGAACATGAAATAGAATCAAATTCCTTTTATTTACAAAAATAAAGATATTTAATCATCGATCGAATAAACGCAATAATAGGTTGGTTCGAGGTCATACAAATATAATGGATTGGATAGAAAAAAAACGAAATAGTTCGGGTTTTTTTTCTTTGTTATTTTTGCTGCATGCAGTTTTGCATTGTGATATATGAGAAAAAACGTTGTATCTTTTCTGTTGATCTATCCAAAAATATTATTTCTCCCCAAAATAAAAAGAATTTATATTCATTAAAATTCACGCCAAATTCTCTTAGAGCGAGGCCCTTCCATTGCATTCCGGTTGGGTTGATCTTTTTATCACCGCAGATGTGGGCGACTCGGGTGCGCTATTTCTAAGTGTGTGGGGTCACCGTTCACGCTCACCCCAATAAACATCCAAAAATAGGTGTTTTTCTTTTTTTATTTAAATTGTACAAAATTCCTTGTAAGTACCTCGAATATCATCCGCACCTACGAAATGTAAATAACTCTTTGATTTTTGGTAATTTTTCATTCTAAGGGTTGAAGTTGTTGCGAGGCAAGCTAAACTAATTTTGATTAAAAATTTATAATTTTAAAAGAGTACCAAAATTATAATAAGAAACAAAGTTTGATTTAAAATTTATCACTTCAAAAGAGTGCCAAACATTTAATAAAAGAACAAACTTTGATTTAAAATTTATAATTTCTTGGGGTGAATTAATATTTGCGATAAGTAACTTTACATTATTTGGGTTGAATTAACAGGAAAGATCCAAAACATTTTCCTCTTGACGAACACTAGGGGCTTTTCAACAAACCTTTATGCAGCTGTAGCGGACGGTAAGGTTTACGTGTTGTTAAATTAGGAACACGAGTGTAACTCCTGATAGGATATTAAAAGGTCCACTACAAGAATATAGCGGTCTCAAGTTGAATCCAACCAAAAATGTAAAGAAAACAAAGACCGATATATATATACAAGTATATGTATTAAACAACAAAATTTACAATGGACAAAGACATCAACATTTGTGTTTGTGCGTGAACGTAAAGAGTTTGTATTTTGATGAATGTTCGTACGTACGTATATTTGTGTGTGTTTGATGGCGTTTTCCCACAAGTGGGCAAAACGTGATCTCTCTGCGAGAGATCACATTTTTTAAATGTGTCCGTTGAAATGCAAACTAAAAAGAGAACAAGGCAAGAAATCTCCCAGTCTTTATAATGTAGGGAAAGCGTGCCCTAGTGAACAATTAAGAAATTAAGGAAGAGTTAACTCCGACACAGCTACCAGACGTATAAATGTGCATTTAGTGTTTCATTGCATTTTATGAACTCTCAATGAATAATCATCCAACGAACTCACTAAGCGCACAATATCAACTTTCTCTCGTGGTGTTCAACTTTCGGGATCGTTTGTGAAGATTTATCCTTGTCAGTCGACTACCTTTCGCCTTTAATTTTCTCGTATGTTAAAGTACTCCAAATTTACTCTTTACCAATTGGTATTGGGTCGGTGCATAATAATCAGGCGTTTTTGTAGGCGAGTTATTCGTTGATAAAAATTGCTGTTTTGGTTACTTTTTTTTTATAAAAATATTATTTTATCATCAGGTTTTAAAAATGCCTCTCGATGATCATACTCACTTAAAAATGTTACTGTAGAATTGTTATGTTTTTTTTGTTTGTTTTTTTTTATAATAAATATTGTTTAAAAACGCCTGATAATTATGCACCAACCCACTAATTAGGATGACATATTCGTCACTACAATTGGTTTCCAAAAATGGAAGTTATTTAAGACTCAAAGTAACAGGTCAGTACTTCTCCCCACTGCTTAAGAAATTAACAAATGAATATAATAAATAAATAAAATACCTGTCTATATTTCTGAAATGAGGTATTATGTACACTATTTACATTATTCGCACTATTGTCCTCATGTTTGTCGCCATATTTATTACAACGTTTCGGCCGTTGTACGCTCCGGTCTTCTTCAAGTGATATACGTTGGAATTTCGAACCGAATCCTTTATTTAGTCCACTGGGGTAGATTTTTCTAGTTCCACGTGCCATGCCTTTTCGGGATATATCAGTTTCATTTATTTCCCTTTAGTAACTCAATACTCCAATTTTTTGTTCACCTTTCAATGTAAATCGTGTAAATAGTTACAATATCTCTGTAATGACAAAAGTACACTGGTGTAAGCTTTAAGAAAGCTTTATTCAGCTGAGAATATGAAGTTCGCGTATAGTAGCCTTTTATAGTCCCAGTAAACAGAAATAGCTCTCTCAAAGAGGAGAGATACAAAACAAGGGAAGACCACTCTTGATTACGCATATCAATCTTATCTCAGAAATATAAACAGAAGCAGCGAAATATTGTGCAATTCCATAACTTTCTTTTACCTGATATTTTTATTGATATTACGTTTGTTCACTTCCAGGAGTCCTAGTTTCAGAGCTAAGCTCTATGCGTGCAATGATTCCTGGTGAACCCAACTGTTTTTCGTGGTCTTTATGCCTCTCTTATACATGATACTGCTGTATTGAACGCAGGGTAATTTTGTTTTTTGGGGGGTGGGGGTCCGTGTCTAATAGGCCGGCAAATACGGTAATTACAATGTGAGCATGTAATTAGCATTTTTCTAACAAGTCTGAAAGTCCACCCCCACCCTAAATGTTCAGAATTTTAAAATCAGCAAATCTGGCAGAATAAAAATCTCTCACTTTATTTCTTTATTTCTTTCTTTGAAGGCAGCAATATCAACATCGAAACGTTGGACCTAAGCTGGAACCATATTCGTTTGAAAGGTGCAGTCACTTTATGTAATGGTTTGTTGGTAAGTCTTTTCAGTATTTCTATGCCAATTATTTCATACAGATTTAATCATGATTAGTCTGTAATAAGTAATCGGGAGTAATCTCCATTGTTTTATCTTTACCTCCCCTTGGAGAACTCTTTCGTTTGTAGAGGATCATAATAGTCATCACGTTTGTATCAATTATATTATTACAGTGTAACCCGGATATAAGAGAAACCCGGATATAAGAGAGATCTTCTCTGGTCCCAAATTAGAGCCTGTGTTAATGTATATAAAATAGACCAAACCTGGATATAAGAGAAACCCGGATATAAGAGAGATCGTATCTGGTCCCAAATTAGAGCCTGTGTTAATGTATATAAAATAGACCAAACCCGGATATAAGAGAAACCCGGATATAAGAGAGATCTTCTCTGGTCCCAAATTAGAGCCTGTGTTAATGTATATAAAATAGACCAAACCCGGATATAAGAGAAACCCGGATATAAGAGAGATCTTATCTGGTCCCAAATTAGAGCCTGTGTTAATGTATATAAAATAGACCAAACCCGGATATAAGAGAAACCCGGATATAAGAGACGTCTGCTCCGGTCCCGACAACTCTCTTATATCCGGGTTACACTGTCTAAAGTTTCCTTAAGTCTTGTCTTACTCTCTTTTATTATCACATTGTCCCTGGAGGTAAACTTATTTTCTCACACCCATTTTTATCTATTTTATAGATTTTGATAACGCAAAATAAATTGTTTTGATTTATTAAGTCAAATTCAATGATTTTTGTTCGATGTTATCTTCGTCATGGAAAAAATAAGATGTCAGTGTCAACTGGATTTTAAACGAAACTATTTCCTATCGCTGTACGAGTAATTACAGAAAGAATTCTATATACACTTTGTTTAAAAATTATATTTAATTTCTTATGTGTATTATTGTTAAAACTGTTCAGTTTATTAAGCAAAAATAAAAAAATAGTTTATTTTCCATATTAACGTTATGATTAGTACCTCCACTAGATTGCAAAAAAGAGCATAGCATGATGAAAAAGACGCCAAACTTGACGAAAGCAAAATTTTATCGTCTAAATGTTTATGTTATTATTAAGATGAAAGATAAAAGTATTTATGCGGTATTTTTTTACATTTTTTAATCGTTCAGAGCACGTCCAAAATTTTCGTTAAAAATCTTGTTTTTTTTTTAGTCAGCAAAATTGACAAATAATTGTTCATGGCAACCATTTTTTTTCCATTTTATAAGAAAAATGAAAATCTCAGTTTGAAATTCTTCTAAAAATCAATTATCATTTTTTCAAAACTTATTTTAAGAAAATCAGAAATTATAATGTTTATTTAAAATATACTGAACTAAGCTTAACTTAGCTTCTGCGCCGAAAAGATGTAACTTGAAAATAGAACAAAGCAGATCATAAACTTTTCGCGTCACTTGAGGTGATGAATGACATATTGAAGGAAGGAGAAAAGTGAAATTATTTACATTTCAGTAAATAAATTATTTACCTCGTTATTTTTAAGGAAAACTTTCAGCGCTCTATTTTTTTTTTTTTGTACTTAGCTTTCACCTTTACGTTTATGATGCTTTATGAAAAATATATTATAAAGAAATTAAAATAAAACTGTTAAGATTGAGATTAAATTTCATAAGAAAGGTACCTAATTGATTTATAGGTACCTTTCTTATGAAATTTTATCAGAAGTGTACATAAAATACTATAATTTTATGTACATTTACTACATTTTACTGTGTTATTTGTATTTCCATTCATTTTATTATTAATTTTGACATTTCATTTATGGAAAAAATGACATAACTGAGATTAATATAAAAATAAGATCATATAAATTTCATAAGATGATACTGATACTTGTAGGTACCCTTCTCAATTGAAATTGAAGAATCAAATTAACTTCACACGTGTTTCGCAAAAGTAAAGGCCTTAACAGCGGAGAACAATGCTTAACTCAAATAATGCAACTTAATTGTATTCTGGTTGGTCTTCCGTACTTCATAATTACAGCCCGATTATAAACACAAAATTACATTTCTTAATTACTGCGGGTCTTCTGATTAATCAAAACGATACAAATTGCAACACGCAAAAAAAAAAGATTTATCTCATAAGGACACATACGAAAGTGGATGCTGCTTTTAACTAATTTTATATTTTAACAACTTAAATGTAAAAATCTATTATAATTTTTTAAAAAATAACAAATAATTGTATTAAAAATTCATTTTTCATCGAAAATTTTTTTGCTTTCAGAAAACATTGTCCATTTCTTAAAAACAACTAAAAGCAAATAAAAGCATTTTAATTAAATAATATATTTGTTTTATTGAGAATTCAGAGCTGATTTTCAGGTGGGGGTCAAATTAAAAAAAAAACATGATTTGCATTCCTCAAAGCCTTGTGCTTTTAACTATTATAATTACTGAAGTGGTCTCGATCGAATTTCAGAGTTTTCATAAATTAGTTATGGGGGGGGTAATAAATATATAAAATATTTCTGCCATGACTTTAATAAAAAAAACATATTTATAATAATTTAGATCATCAGTGAATAGTTTCATTAACATCCAACAATTATTTTTATTTTTGCAAGATTTTTCAATTTAATGTGTGTCACAGAAAAAAAACAAAAACAAAAAAAAACGTACTAAAATTGTCTATGTTATTTTACTAGTTCCGGTGATACAAAGAGAAACAAGGATTTTTAAATGAAATTTCAGAATGTTCTAAAAAGAAGGAATTTTTTTTTAAAATAATTAAAATAAACTTTGATCTTTCCTCTTAATAATAACATAAACATTTAGACGATAAAATTTTGTTTTCGTCAAGTTTGGCGTCTTTTTCATCATGCTATGGTCTTTTTTTAGCGATCTCGTTGAGGTACCTACGTTATGATGATGATCGCCTACGTCCTGAAATGACACGACACAAGGAATAATAATAATAATAATAATAATAATAATAATAATAATAATAATAATAATGGAGTTTCAAATGGGCGCAGAAATACAAGTAAAGTACAATACACCGGCTGAAGTTTCAAAATACTTAAAAAAGAAAGCTTCATGGCCAATACTCTGCGCGTACCAAACAAGTTGACGTAGACAAACCCCGTACCCATCAGTGGCTACGTAGTGCAGGGTTGAAAGCTGAAACAGAAGGTTTTATCCTTGCTGAACAGGACTAATGCTTGCTAACTAGGAATTATCAAGCACATATACTAAAATATTGTGTCAGCCCAAAATGCAGATTCTGTGATAAATATCCAGAAACTATTGATCATCTTGTATCAGGTTGCACGATATTGGCACCCAGTGAATATAAAACCCGGCATGACAGAGTGGGCCAATATCTGCACTGGAAAATTTGCAACTTCTGCCGGAAGGAAAGAACTGGTATGAACACCACCCAGACCCGTTTTCGGAGATAAGACCTGTTACAATTCTATGGGACTACACAATACACACTGACAGAACAATCAAAGCCAACCGCCCAGATTATTAAAGACCACAAACAAAAAAATGTGCCACCTTATTGATATGGCAGTCCCTGCTGACTGCAATGTATCTTTGAAGATATTCAAAAAGCTGTCAAAATACAAGGACCTTGAAATAGAAATCTCAAAAATTTGGCACATGGAAACATCAACAATCGCTGTTGTAGTTGGAGCCCTAGGATTGGTTGGAAAAGATTCCAGTAGACTAATTGAAGGGATTCCTGGAAGCCCATGCCTCAAAGAAATACAAAAAATTGTTTTGACAAGTACAGCTCACACTTTACGAAGGGCTTTATCTATGTATTCTTTTTTTGTTTTTGTCAGTGGAAAGTGTCATGATGCCATTTCTAACCTTAGGTCCCTGTGCGGGACCCGGAAAGAAATGTGTAAACGCCAAAAATCAAAGCATTAAAATGATCTTTCTAAAAGTGTTTGGCTTCTATTTTAACCATAACTCAACGAGTTCTTTCAAAATAAAAAAAATCAGTATATGCCTAAACGTCATCTTATCACCATCTGGAATGCGCCATGGGTTTACCATTTCCCGGCGTGTATTACCCCCCCCCCGCAACAAAAAAATCCCACCAACTCCATCTTGTTGATGTCTCAACCACTGAGAGAAGGCAGCTAATAGACATTCAGATTTTGCCTATACGCCCGGTTTATCGAGAGTAGAACTTCATTTGTCGGTTAAAATTCAAAAAATCGGTCTTTATGTATTCTGCTGTCCGTTGTTTCGATTACCGTTAAAGATGTCTTTTAAGGGAAGTTTTAAACGTGGTTCGGGAGAGGTAGCAGAGGGAATGAACTTGTTGAGAGCTACAAGGGATAGAGGGGCATTGGTCTTATCCAGTGCGAAGTGTCCAAATAGCTTAGAAGCGTCACAAGGCCGTAAAAGTGGAGCCATGATCGCCTACATCCTGAAAGGACATGGAACATAAAAAGAAAAAGAATATTTTAATACTTGATTTAGAATCTAATTGCTTTCGCGTTTAAAAAAGGTTCTAATTGCTACAAGAAAACAACATAAAGACAGGCTTTTTATAACTTTTCTCTTAATACGAACGCGGATAAGCGAAATTAAGCCATCACTTTACTCTTTTCAAACCTGCAGACGACAAGGATTTTTAACGAAGTTCTTCAAAGTTTGGTGATATATGCTAATTATTTTTATTATTGTCAATTTTATTTTCTTTCGAAAAAAATTTGCGCTTTGCAAATATTTCTCTTTGTCAGTTTGAGACTCTGAAATTCAAGATATTTCCTACAAACTGAGGCACATCATGGCCGTGTAATGGTTAGCAAGCTTGACTCGCTAAAACATTTACAACTGGAGAGTGAGTTCGATCCTCACTGGATGCCCCATACTTTCTGACCTGTTCCACATCTAAGCCACGCTTAGATAATCAGTATTTCCTACAAATGGCTTCCGCTCCTTAACAACTACACAGTAATTAATCTAGCGATACAATCTCGCTAAACATTACAGCAAGTCCCCCAAAATGATTTTCTAAGCGTAGCTTCGATGTGGCACAAGGCCGTAAGCGTGGAACACCCAGTGAGGCTCGAAATCACTAAACAGTCGTAACTGACCTAACGAGACAAGCTTGCCAACCATTACACCAGTGTGAATTGTCCAAATAGCTTAGAAGCCGCACAAGGCCGAATAAGTGGACTACCCAGTAAGGTCCGAACTCAATAAACAGTCGTAATTGCTCTAGCAAAACAAGCTCGTTAACCATTACACCTTCTCGAATCACACAAATAACCCACGAAAGAGTTTATAAGCCGGAAAAAAATCAAATCACCAAATTTTTCGCTAATATCAAATAGATTATTTCCACACAGATCAAATACATAAAATATGCGTGATAATTTTTTTTAAATTTTATTTGGTAAATTTACTTATTTATTCACCATATACACAAATTGCTTATCTTTTTTTCAACATTACTTTTTGCAGGCGAACAAATACATTCACACCCTCAACATATCTTCGAATGGGTTTGCTTATCAGGGAGCAGTTGCTCTCTCTCGAGTGTTACAACATAATAAGATCCTCAAGGAAATTGACGCTTCAGATAACAGAATTTGCTGGAAAGGGGCATTGGTCTTATCTAAAGGTCTGCAAGTTAATAAAACACTCGAGACCCTGAAGGTATGTAATGGAATCATTTCCATAGCATCATGTACATACCAACCTGTTTAAGTGTATATATTTATGTTTATGTGTGTATGTATGTAGGTATGTATGCATAAGTATATATTGATGGGCATGTCTATGTGTGCATGCATGTACAAGTATGGAAAAAAGAGGGCTCTAATACAAGCATATCTCTGGGTTGATGTGTACACCGATTTAGGTGTTTATATATATATATATATATATATATATATATATATATATATATATATATATATGATAGAATAAAGAAGTGGGAAACAGATCTTAATTTAACATGTTTCACTTTATTAAAGCTTTGTCAGAGATCACGATAGAAATGATTAAACATGATAAAAAGCAAAGAGACGCAGATTAATGGTATGTTGTGTTTGACTATTTCTTATTGGTAGATGTCACGTATAATGAAGTAACAGATAATATTCAAATATGTGTGGCAAACTTTCTCGACGCTAAAGTGTGTAAAAGTTATTAAGATCGAGTAGAATGCTTTGACTGGATACGTATCACGTGTAATGAAGTAACAGATAATATTCAAATATGTGTGGCAAACTTTCTCGACGCTAAAGTGTGTAAAAAGTTATTAAGATCGAGTAGAATGCTTTGACTGGATACGTATCACGTGTAATGAAGTAACAGATAATATTCAAATATGTGTGGCAAACTTTCTCGACGCTAAAGTGTGTAAAAGTTATTAAGATCGAGTAGAATGCTTTGACTGGATACGTATCACGTGTAATGAAGTAACAGATAATATTCAAATATGTGTGGCAAACTTTCTCGACGCTAAAGTGTGTAAAAGTTATTAAGATCGAGTAGAATGCTTTGACTGGATACGTATCACGTGTAATGAAGTAACAGATAATATTCAAATATGTGTGGCAAACTTTCTCGACGCTAAAGTGTGTAAAAGTTATTAAGATCGAGTAGAATGCTTTGACTGGATACGTATCACTTCTCGACGATACGTATCGACGCTAAAGTGTAAAAGTTATTAAGATCGAGTAGAATGCTTTGATGGATACGTATCACGTGTAATGAAGTAACAGATAATATTCAAATATGTGTGGCAAACTTTCTCGACGCTAAAGTGTGTAAAAGTTATTAAGATCGAGTAGAATGCTTTGACTGGATACGTATCACGTGTAATGAAGTAACAGATAATATTCAAATATGTGTGGCAAACTTTCTCGACGCTAAAGTGTGTAAAAGTTATTAAGATCGAGTAGAATGCTTTGACTGGATACGTATCACGTGTAATGAAGTAACAGATAATATTCAAAATATGTGGCAAACTTTCTCGACGCTAAAGTGTGTAAAAGTTATTAAGATCGAGTAGAATGCTTTGACTGGATACGTATCACGTGTAATGAAGTAACAGATAATATTCAAATATGTGTGGCAAACTTTCTCGACGCTAAATGTGTGGTGTGTAAAAGTTATTAAGATCGAGTAGAATGCTTTGACTGGATACGTATCACGTGTAATGAAGTAACAGATAATATTCAAATATGTGTGGCAAACTTTCTCGACGCTAAAGTGTGTAAAAAGTTATTAAGATCGAGTAGAATGCTTTGACTGGATACGTATCACGTGTAATGAAGTAACAGATAATATTCAAATATGTGTGGCAAACTTTCTCGACGCTAAAGTGTGTAAAAGTTATTAAGATCGAGTAGAATGCTTTGACTGGATACGTATCACGTGTAATGAAGTAACAGATAATATTCAAATATGTGTGGCAAACTTTTCTCGACGCTAAAGTGTGTAAAAGTTATTAAGATCGAGTAGAATGCTTTGACTGGATACGTATCACGTGTAATGAAGTAACAGATAATATTCAAATATGTGTGGCAAACTTTCTCGACGCTAAAGTGTGTAAAAGTTATTAAGATCGAGTAGAATGCTTTGACTGGATACGTATCACGTGTAATGAAGTAACAGATAATATTCAAATATGTGTGGCAAACTTTCTCGACGCTAAAGTAACAGTGTCAAAAAAAGTTAAAATTAAGATCGAGTAGAATGCTTTGACTGGATACGTATCACGTGTAATGAAGTAACAGATAATATTCAAATATGTGTGGCAAACTTTCTCGACGCTAAAGTGTAAAAGTTATTAAGATCGAGTAGAATGCTTTGACTGGATACGTATCACGTGTAATGAAGTAACAGATAATATTCAAATATGGCAAACTTTCTCGACGCTAAAGTGTGTAAAAGTTATTAAGATCGAGTAGAATGCTTTGACTGGATACGTATCACGTGTAATGAAGTAACAGATAATATTCAAATATGTGTGGCAAACTTTCTCGACGCTAAAGTGTGTAAAAGTTATTAAGATCGAGTAGAATGCTTTGACTGGATACGTATCACGTGTAATGAAGTAACAGATAATATTCAAATATGTGTGGCAAACTTTCTCGACGCTAAAGTGTGTAAAAGTTATTAAGATCGAGTAGAATGCTTTGACTGGATACGTATCACGTTTAATGAAGTAACAGATAATATTCAAATATGTGTGGCAAACTTTCTCGACGCTAAAGTGTGTAAAAGTTATTAAGATCGAGTAGAATGCTTTGACTGGATACGTATCACGTGTAATGAAGTAACAGATAATATTCAAATATGTGTGGCAAACTTTCTCGACGCTAAAGTGTGTAAAAGTTATTAAGATCGAGTAGAATGCTTTGACTGGATACGTATCACGTGTAATGAAGTAACAGATAATATTCAAATATGTGTGGCAAACTTTTCGACGCTAAGACGATCGAGTAGAATGCTTTGACTGGAAGTGTGTAAAAGTTATTAAGATCGAGTAGAATGCTTTGACTGGATACGTATCACGTGTAATGAAGTAACAGATAATATTCAAATATGTGTGGCAAACTTTCTCGACGCTAAAGTGTGTAAAAGTTATTAAGATCGAGTAGAATGCTTTGACTTTGACTGGATGCTTTGACGATACGTATCACGTAATGAAGTAACAGATAATATTCAAATATGGCAAACTTTCTCGACGCTAAAGTGTGTAAAAGTTATTAAGATCGAGTAGAATGCTTTGACTGGATACGTATCACGTGTAATGAAGTAACAGATAATATTCAAATATGTGTGGCAAACTTTCTCGACGCTAAAGTGTGTAAAAGTTATTAAGATCGAGTAGAATGCTTTGACTGGATACGTATCACGTGTAATGAAGTAACAGATAATATTCAAATATGTGTGGCAAACTTTCTCGACGCTAAAGTGTGTAAAAGTTATTAAGATCGAGTAGAATGCTTTGACTGGATACGTATCACGTGTAATGAAGTAACAGATAATATTCAAATATGTGTGGCAAACTTTCTCGACGCTAAAGTGTGTAAAAGTTATTAAGATCGAGTAGAATGCTTTGACTGGATACGTATCACGTGTAATGAAGTAACAGATAATATTCAAAATATGTGGCAAACTTTCTCGACGCTAAAGTGTAAAAGTTATTAAGATCGAGTAGAATGCTTTGACTGGATACGTATCACGTGTAATGAAGTAACAGATAATATTCAAATATGTGTGGCAAACTTTCTCGACGCTAAAGTGTGTAAAAGTTATTAAGATCGAGTAGAATGCTTTGACTGGATACGTATCACGTGTAATGAAGTAACAGATAATATTCAAATATGTGGCAAACTTTCTCGACGCTAAAGTGTGTAAAAGTTATTAAGATCGAGTAGAATGCTTTGACTGGATACGTATCACGTGTAATGAAGTAACAGATAATATTCAAATATGTGTGGCAAACTTTCTCGACGCTAAAGTGTGTAAAAGTTATTAAGATCGAGTAGAATGCTTTGACTGGATACGTATCACGTGTAATGAAGTAACAGATAATATTAATGGCAAATTCGACGCTAAATAAAATATTAAGATGGCAGAATGCTTTGACTGGATACGACGCTAAAGATAATATTCAAAATAAAACTTTTCGACGCTTAAGATTAAGAGTAGAATGCTTTGACTGGATACGTATCACGTGTAATGAAGTAACAGATAATATTCAAATATGTGTGGCAAACTTTCTCGACGCTAAAGTGTAAAAGTTATTAAGATCGAGTAGAATGCTTTGACTGGATACGTATCACGTGTAATGAAGTAACAGATAATATTCAAATATGTGTGGCAAACTTTCTCGACGCTAAAGTGTGTAAAAGTTATTAAGATCGAGTAGAATGCTTTGACTGGATACGTATCACGTGTAATGAAGTAACAGATAATATTCAAATATGTGTGGCAAACTTTCTCGACGCTAAAGTGTGTAAAAGTTATTAAGATCGAGTAGAATGCTTTGACTGGATACGTATCACGTGTAATGAAGTAACAGATAATATTCAAATATGTGTGGCAAACTTTCTCGACGCTAAAGTGTGTAAAAGTTATTAAGATCGAGTAGAATGCTTTGACTGGATACGTATCACGTGTAATGAAGTAACAGATAATATTCAAATATGTGGCAAACTTTCTCGACGCTAAAGTGTAAAAGTTATTAAGATCGAGTAGAATGCTTTGACTGGATACGTATCACGTGTAATGAAGTAACAGATAATATTCAAATATGTGTGGCAAACTTTCTCGACGCTAAAGTGTGTAAAAGTTATTAAGATCGAGTAGAATGCTTTGACTGGATACGTATCACGTGTAATGAAGTAACAGATAATATTCAAATATGTGTGGCAAACTTTCTCGACGCTAAAGTGTGTAAAAGTTATTAAGATCGAGTAGAATGCTTTGACTGGATACGTATCACGTGTAATGAAGTAACAGATAATATTCAAATATGTGTGGCAAACTTTCTCGACGCTAAAGTGTGTAAAAGTTATTAAGATCGAGTAGAATGCTTTGACTGGATACGTATCACGTGTAATGAAGTAACAGATAATATTCAAATATGTGTGGCAAACTTTCTCGACGCTAAAGTGTGTAAAAGTTATTAAGAT